TTCCGAAGCGTCCTATTAAAGTTCTATCGCTGAGAATTCTAACTCAACCTTTCAAAAATGCATGAAGCAGCTTAAGCGATTTAAGCATTCGAGTAGACGTAAGTAGAGGCAGTTGTCGAAGGTACTGATTTCCGCTGGCTTCACTTTCAACTTCAACGACTAAAAAATTCACAAAAGTTATTCCCTCAACTAAAGCTGTTTTGATATTCTTAGACTACGAGAAAATTCCTATCAGATCATATCAAGCTTGCTTGCAAAACCTTTCACTTTTGGAACAAAATTGTCAATTGAAAAAAACGCCATTACTTATGTGTTAACCTAATATATGGATGGATGTGTCTTGGGCCGGTAAAATCCAACCTGCCCCGGAATCCGGGGAAGGATTCTCCGAAGGGACCATTTATTCTCTGCTCTGCTCGCACAAATTTGGAAGGATAATTGGTTTCGGCAAGCGACCGGTGGTGCAGTGAGGTGGATGAGGGTATCGCTTTAGAGGAACGAGGCCATGTTGGAATCCTTGACTCTTGCAAATCTTTCTTTTGTTTAAAACAATTCGTATGAGCCTCAAGCAATTCTGTATAGCTAGTTCACCTGGTTCTTCGATTATTTGACATTAGGAAATGCAAATTATCCATTCCTGGTAAGGAGTACTCTCAAAGGCCTAACCACTAACATTATTTCCTCAATGTATCAACGGGACTCTATTCTGTCTTTTGTCTCCGGTAGTTTTTCAATTCTGCTCACCTAGATTCAAAAACTTCTCCTGCTGTTGGTATTTCGTGAGATACTTCGGAGCACATCATTTTGTATCCGAAACCCCTCTTCAGTGTTGCTTCCCTCTGGACTAGTGGAGAACTGTAATTGTACTGTGTGTGGAGAGCACTTCTTCATTTGCTGTGCTCATTGTGAGAATATGTTTTGTTTCCATCACTCCGTGGAAGAATTTCACGTGTGCTTTTGGACCATGAAAACTTAGTTTTCCACGAATCTGATAAGAAAAGATATACTCTTCTTCTTCTTCTTCTTCTATTTTCTTCTTTTCTTGCTTCTTCTTCTTCTTCATTCTTCTTCTTCTTCTTCTTTTCTTCGTTCTCTTCTTCTCTTCTTCTTCTTCTCTCCTAGTGCTTCTTCTTCTAGCGTTAGTCCCGCGCCGTCGAAGGTCCGCTGTTCTTGTTGGACGTCGCCATTTCTTCCGATCCACCGCATCTTCTATTCAGTGAGACCTTTTGATGACGTCAATCCATATTCTCTTTGGGGCTCCTCATGTTCGCTTGCCCTCTGCTTGGAATTCCAATGCCTTCCTTATTGGGTGCTCCTCAGACCTCCTTAGTACGTGCCCATACCATTGCAGTGCTGCTCGTGCCTTCACTGGATCGGAGCCGTCTGTGTGGTCGCCCTAACGTCCTCGTTTCTGACTCTGTCCTCCGTGTCCAACCGCAGACCCATCTCAGCATCCTCATTTCAGCTGAATGGAGCTGCCTTTCATGGTCCTTGCAGATGGGCCAGCACTCACTGCCGTAGACCATTGTGGGCCTTATCACCGCCTGGTACACCTTGCCCTTGAGAGTTTTTGAGGAACGCCGGTGGCATAGGATGCCAGTGGACTCCCTCCATTTCATTCAGGCTGCGTTGATTCGCGCCTTCACCCCTTGGTCCTGGATTTCTCTCTTGCTCCGCTATCAGGGCGATGTCGTCAGCTTAGAGGATGGTTTTCAGTGGTCCCTGCATGAGATCTTTTGCCATGACAAGAGAAAGAGGAACGGGCTGAGGGCTGATCCTTGGTGTGTGCTCCCCAACCGTGATGTTTACCTTTGTTCTCCTTTGTCAAGCCATGCGAGGTGCGTACAGCTGCTTTAGCCCCATCGTATTATGTACTTCACTATGAAGACGAGGTGCCTCGGAACGTCACGTTCTGTAAGCGCTCTTCAGAGTACAGGCCGAAGCAGGCGGTCAAATGCCTTCTCAAGGTCCAGGGAGGCTAAGTAGTAGGGCCGCTGCTTTTCTCGATACTTCTCCATCAGCTGAATGAAGATGGCGTCAGTGGTGGACCTTCCGGGCATGAAGCCGAAATGTTCCTGCGAGATAGCGACAAGTTCCCTCAGCCTTGTATTGACCAGGCGCTCTCACAGCTTGATGGTATGGGGAGTCAACTTGATGTCGAGGGTAGTTGGAGCACTCTGTAGTGTCCCCTTTATGTTTGAAGATGGGGACGATTGTGACGCTCCTCCACGCATACCGCATCCTTCCTTCAGCCGTTAGGCAGCATTCATACTTCGCGACAGCAGCGGCGATCGCGGCGACCTCGGCGACCTCGGCGATCGCCGCGATCGCCGCGGTCGTCGATACGTGGCAGAGCGCTATTATGGACTGCTTGCTCGATAAATAAGGGAATCCAACTTGTGAGACCTTCTTTTCTCTCAATAATGGCTACTAACTGATAACTTACGACTTTCTATACATAAGCGGATCTGGAATATGAGGTGAGGAGGTTTCGCTTTTTTTACGCCGGGATGAGGCCGACTCCATTTTCAGGGTGAGCTTCTTTTTGTATCTTTTGTTTTTATTGTTTCAATTTATGCAAGCGCCTTGAAATTTCCTATCGTCTGGACTACTGTTCCAACTTCCAAAACATTTATAGTTTACAAGTTTCGAGTTCAAAGAACGAAGAAAAAAAGAAACAGAAAGACACTCACCAAATAACCAAAACACTAATCATTTTACGCAACATCAGCAGGTGAAAACTTGAGAACCTCATGTATAAGCTCGACGAATGAAAAAAGAAACAATGAAAACCTACCCTAAGCTCTCACACTTTTTTCTCATTTCTATCATCAAGAAAGAAAGTAGAAAACAAAAACCATTAAGTTGGGTTCACCTTTCTTTGTGCCGAACCAAACTCAGTATCTAGGAAAATTGCAGCTGAAGGAAAAAAGCATGAAATTGAGTAGTTTCATCCCAGAAGCCTTCGGAGCGCAAGTAATAGCGTTGGGGCGCGCTCTGCCATGTATTAGGTTGTTGCATAAGTTTCCTCCTGCTTTGATCCTTCCTTATTTCGTTTGCGTGGAGGTAGGTATTTCGCCATCACGTATGCATGACGTGTACATGATACTCTTTCACCACACCTATCACTCACCCACCCTGCATTTGCAGGCTACAATGCCGCACAATTACCAGTGCATGATCCGATCACTGATCCTGTTCACAGAGGAGACGCGGTCCGAGGGACTCTGCCACCGCTATGACCACTTCATTCCGTTTGGTGTCTCCCCCTTTGTATGATAGATGATTTTGACACCTTTTCTAAGCTCGCGCGCCTTCGCACCATTCCATCGCGTTTCCTGAAGGCATAGGAATTGTATATTCCTGCCCCTCATGAGGTCGGCAACCTCACGAGACTTCCCGGTAAGCGACCCCACGTTCAGGGTCCCAATTGACTAGCTTCTTGCCGAGGTTCCTTCACCCGCTTGGTAGCGCTTGCAATACTAACCGCAGAACTCGGACGAGGGGTTCTGCGCGTACCAAGTTCTGCCGGTAGTATGCGAAGGTTCGCAGTCAGTGTCGAGACACGCTTCCGGGGTGACGTCCTAGCTTCAAACTCGATGCTGCAACTTGTTGCATGATTGTTTGTAGAACAGGTTCCATCTCAGCGCCCTGTCACTTGGCGTTGACGCAGGCTATCGTCCCCATTTTTGCAATTTTTCAAAAGCATGGTTTGTGGGCCTCGACAGGGATTCGAGAACTCGTTGGCCTTAAAGTGCGAACATGAGTCCGCATTTTTACTTCTTAGTCCGAGTCCTTCACCCCTTGGTAAAGCGCTTGCAATACTAACCGCAGAACTCGGACGAGGGGTTCTGCGCGTCCAAGTTCTGCGGTTAGTATGCAAGGTTCGGCATCAGTGTCGAACACGTTCCGGGTGACGTCCTAGCTTCAACACTCGATGCTGCAACTTGTCATGATTGTTGTGGACAGGTTCCTCCATCAGCCGCCCTGTCAACCTTGGCGTTGACGCAGGTATCGTCCCCATTTTTGCAATTTTTTCAAGGCATGGTTTGTGCCTCGACAGGATCGAAACTCGTGGCTTAAAGTGCGAACATGAGTCCGCATTTTTACAACACTCGACTATCCTGCCCTTGATAACAAGATACACTCTCAGGAAAAATTCTCTAAAGACCCTAGAAATGGATAGTTTGCTTCCGGCAGTTTGTCGCCCCTGATGATCGTTTGTCTCCTGATGCCATATAATTGAAGAATCAGGTAAATTGGCTGAACAGAAACGTTGTGGGACTCATATGATGTGTTCCGAAGAAAAGAAAAAAATTTGCAAGAGTCGAGGATTGTAACATGCGACCTTGTAAGAAACGGTCACATGTTCCAATCCTTAGTGTAGTGGGTAAGTGGCGCTTGCCCACTACACCACCGGCAGCTTAACCAGCCACTTATCATTCCGAGCTTGTGCGACCAAAGTAGAGAATAAATGGTTCTTAACTTCCTAGGGCTACTAGGTAATTTACGCAAAGGACAGGATCGAAGTTTCAATATTTTATGGTGTGTGATGTGATAGTGGGCAATTTGGGATGGAATGTAATGTTTGTATGTAATTTCTATGATTTGTACTATTTAGGTGTTTAGATCATTAGTTTATTCATGTGAAATTCCTACTTTCACCTACCAAAAATGAGGCCAGCCAGATATGCCTTTTAAAGGGACCTAGGGATCGTGTATTCTCCCTATTTGATGATTTGCGGGTCTCAGGATATCTGGCAACCGAGAACCCCCCCGCCCCTCTCGGCGGGCGAGCAGGCAGATCCTTACGTATCTATCTTTCTCATTAGAGTCAACAGATAGAGCGGAGGGGGTCTTACCGGGATCATGTTTCGGGCGGGGGGGGGGAGGAGGTGGGGTCGTGCTGACACCATCATATCGCTCATCACGATGCTGTACCCTGTGAACAGTCCGCTAAAATTGACAGCAAAAACTATTGCTTCGTAACTTGTGACAAGATGAACCCTACGTGGCATAAGGTGACCTGCATTACATCAAAGACTACCATCTTTACCCTTTACAGTACCAGTCTAAATTTCGAGAGGCTGAATTCCCTTCCCCCCACCCCACTTCCCTGAAATCCCCCCCCCCCCCCAAATCCCTGTTATACTTGCATTCACGAGACGTCTGTGATTAAATTGCCGCTTTGAACCTAATTTGTCGTAGTTGCTGATCAGCTGCTCAACTTTTCTTTGCGCATGCCTTGTGCTCCATTTACAACTACCGTAAATGTGGACAATATTTGCGCGTTTTCTGTAGACTAGGGGGGGGGCTCGTCATCTAAAAAATCGTCGCATAGCTCCTGGAAGAGTTTCTATTGGGTACTACAAGAAAAATCTTCATTTGATTTCGTGGTAAGCCAACCACGGAAGCAAATGAAGATTTTTCTTGTAGTACCCAATAGAATTGCTTGTCAACTTTTCCATTGATGCTTTATGTTTCAAGTGTCATACGCGAAAATTTCTCTATTTAGATGATCTTGTCGTACGTGACCCAATACAAAATGATGTGGGTGTTTATGAGTGCCATGCAATTTCGACTGCCGGAGTGCATATAGACGCTGCCAAAGTTTTTGTTGCCGGTCAGTCTCACATTCTCATGAGAGCTGCCATGTTGAGAGAACTTACTGATAAAGTCTATACCGAAAGCGATCAGCAGCGTTATAAGTCGTTTAGTATTAGCCTTTTCTTCATTTCTAAGAAGATGGAAGAGTTCCAGTTGCTCCCCTTGTAAAGCTAAAGCAGAGCACATCTCCACTTGGAAGAAGAGACAACGTTTTTCTGGAATGCATAGTAAGAATAAATGAGATTTAAAGGTACAAAAATTTTGAATATTGAAGTTTTCTGTTCATAGATTCTGGCAGGCATACCAACACCTCAAATAAAGTGGTTCAAGGGTGTAAGGGAACTTCTGCAAAGCAGTAACGAGCGTATGGTCTTAAATGGGACACATCTCAAAATAAACGTGAGTTTGTCACGAACTTTGAAAGTGCTTCGCCTATGTTTGTACGCTCTCATGTTCTCTTTCGGAGAATCACATTTGCGACCCGATTAACATATTCGAACTCTTTTATTGGAGGATGCTCGCGAAACTGACACTGGCTCATATTCGTGTGTCGTTGATAATATTGCCGGGAGTGAAATAAGTGCAGCAAAAATCGTGGTGGGAAGTGAGTTCATTTAATGTTCACGAACATATGTGCATGATATATTTGAAGAGAAATCCGTGTATTGTGGATAGTGGCGCTCACTTACAAATATGTAGTCGCTATAGATCTTCTCAGGGAAGGGAAACGCGGAAAAAAACCGCAGCGAACACCCCAAGCAAAGAACTGGTAGCCTCTTTGGGCGAGTTTTTCGGACTGTTCGTTTCGTACCAGTAAAGCTATATCCTGCCACCTCCAGCTCGACATTGGTTTATCGGTTTCTTTCCGCATCATTTAATACTAATACCGTCACCCAACGAAAAAAAAGAGAAAACGTATCGTAAAATTGATTTTGTGACAGGAAATGGCCTTTGAGTTTTGGTGGGCGGCACAACTGGGGAGGCGCCAGAAATGCCACGTATGAGCGTCACAGCGTTTTCGTCACTTACCGTAAAGCCGGGATGAGATTAGAGACTGAGAGAGCGTTGCTCAAGCGCTGGGAGCGTCTTCAAAGTTATGCGAACGGCTTCCTTTACTATTTCAGGTGTGCCGACGATAATTTCTTCCCCAGAAACCGTCCGAGTAAACGTCGAAGAAGAGGTTAATGATTATGTGCAGGTGTTTGCAGAGATTCGAAAATGTACGCTCCTATGAATGCTGGATCGGTGGTTCAGGTCACGCTTCAATGCACAGCAGTCGGACAACCATCACCAAGGATCGCTTGGCAACGCAATGGAATTCCGCTCGACTTGTTAAACTATTCTCGCTACACTGTGCTCTCTAGTGGCCACCTGTTTATAACAAGTCAGAATTGCGAAGATCTCGGTGGTTAAAAACCCGTTTAGATTAATGTGAGTCAGCATTCAGATGCTCAACTTGAGGATCAGGCAAGCTTCACATGTATAGCAGAGAATGATTATGGCGCCCAGTCAAAAACCACATTGGTCGTTATTTCTGGATTAGGTACATCTTAGTGAGCATAGCAGTAGATAGAACATCATAGAAATGAAATTCTTTGACAGCTTCTCCAGTGCTGGGTCATGCTCCACCTGAACAGCAACTTATTGAGGGTGAAGATCTACGACTGTCCTGCGTAGTTGTTCTCGGAAGTCCGAGACCAGAGATCAAATGGTTCAGAGACGGCTCTCCGATCAAGCCCAGTCCTTCACTCAGTGTAGGTTATTCAATTTCCGTCGATGGTGGTTAGCTCGTTATAGACAATGGTATCTTTTACTTCATAAGTCTACACTAAAAACATCCACACCTTCATCTCAAATCAGAGATTGTTCGGCATGTATTCACTTCATAACCCTGCGTGTTACGTGAATGCCCGAACGGACATTCAACCGTGATATTGAGAGGTGTACCTTACCTTGAGCGATCCGAGATCGTTACAATATTTATCTGGCCAACATTTCGGCAGTAGTGCCATCTTCAGAACTTGCTCGAAACATATTTCTGAAACAATTCGTCTCAATCATACTTCGGATTGCATAATGAAAATCCAAAGTCAAGCAGCTCATGAAACTGTATCGTAAAGAGGGCTAGCCTTCTAGGAGATGTCACTTTCAGTTGGCTTATAGATGAAGGTGTGACGCTTTAATATGCATTCGAAACCACCCTGCGTTTGGGGGGATGTTGAACACAATTGGTCCGAGTAGAAACGCCGTAAGGGACCTCTCGACACAAAATCGATGGCGAAGGTCAATATTTTTGCAAGGATTGTTAAAAGGGACACCTCCTGTAGATCGCTGTGCATCGCCCTCAATATCGTTTTCCAAGGTACCAGCCTCAACCCCCGGCCCTAGCGCGGGGGAGGGATTGTCCGAGTTGATCAGACCGTATTTCGTAACCTCCACTACCATAGGCATATCTGATACTATCGTGATACTGAAATTTGTGGTCATCAAGAGGAGTGGACATCCTTGACTTTTCTAGACCTAGTTGTTCCCAAACCCTAACGCTGGTCAGATTCCTCCAGATTTTCCTCCCCGTCTACACCAGGAAGGTAACAACACGTGGTCGTGCAATTGCCCCCCCCCCTTTCCGAAAGGGCAGAGAAAAAAAGGGGTTTGACGAAGTCGTTCATAAAGCTAGTTGCGACCAGCTGTCTCTTCAATTTTGGGGAGGAACTTCAAACACTCTTACATCGTCTTGAATATTTGCTTTTTGGAGGCAAGCCCGAATAGCAGAGCTCATCTTCACGAAAATGAAATAAACAGAAAGATAATTTTCCTGCTCTCTCTCTCTCTTTCTTTCTCTCTCTCTTATCCGTCACCAGTCCTAGCACGCCGTTCAGCTGCCCACGGTTGAGATCACAGCCCTTCTGTTGCGAAACACGGTAAGCCAAAACTATTGACCCCTTCTGTATGCGCCTTCGGATGAAATTGCAGAAGCGGTCCAAAATGTCTCCGACAGTGACTTTTTTGGTGTTCAAGGGATGGGCAGAACTGTAATGGACGATGATATTCTTGTTGCTAGGCTTTCGATACCATCCCCGCAGTAGTTGAAGCTGCACGTTCAGAAAAGCCAGCCAATAATCTGTCGACTTTTAAAGCGTGAATTTTGTATGTTCAAATGCCGAGTATCAGTAGTTCGAAGCAGGTGTCCAGCATCTCGGCTCGAGTGGAACCTATGACAAAACAATCATTGTTGTACCAACGGAAGAGAACTTGCAGGCTTTTCGATTTTTGACAAGAATGCCACCGCAAGGTCTGGTGCTAACCCTTGCCCCATTGCTAGTTCCCTAACTGCTTATAGTGTTCCCCTAATCATCTAAATATGTTCAAAATCATGACTTGTGTGATGGAGGGTACGTACAGCTTTAGACTAGAGTGGTGGTCGGTGGAAATCCCTAGCACTGCCTGCATTGGTGCATCTTCGGAGACGTTCCTATGTAGAGATGTTACGTCGAACGACTCCATTACATTTTTTTCCTCCACACCGGCTTCGCCAAGTAGCTGACGGACCTTTTTCGTAATTGGCAAATGCGCAAGGACAAATCGGAGGAGCTGCGCAAGCATGATGTTAAAGAACCAAGTAGTTCTGTCTGTAGGGTCCCCAACACTGCTTGTAATGGGTCTAACCTTGAAGCTAGCTAGATCTTCTATCCACAGCTCTTCCAGGGTTGATTTTTGTGTTTTTATAAGCAGGTATAAAAACGGAAGTAGGGTAGATCGCATTCTAACCTGGTTACCAAGCTCTTTGGAAAGCTTCCAGAGACATCCTACAGATTATTCAACCATTCTACCATAATACAATCCCTAATTGTACACTGGTTCAAATCATTCACAAGTCTTGTCGGGCAACGAACCATGTCAAATCAGGTACCAGTACACCCAGCAGAATAAAGAGTCACCAGATTACGATGTCTTCGTGCTAGCTTCAAGGTAAGTTCGTTTGCATAGCTGCAAGGAAACGTGTCCAACTGGCCAGAATGCCTCTCTGCAGAGCTTTCGAGCCGTAGGGACCTGCGATTCAGGTTACACACAACAAAATTCTTACAGAATACTTCGGGGGGTTATCTCCTAGGTTGTGGGAGTTGTGTGCAGATTGTGTGTACAATGCTGCTTTCTATTCTGGACGCTTTTCGCGCCCGAATAGAGGCATTAGTAGCTCAATAGCATCATTCAACGCTGTGTCCAGCGAGTTCATGACGTTTATGCTGCGCATCCTTTTGCTAACAACACCTTTAATTCCTTGGCCATAACCATAACATCTCTTGAGAGCTCGATAGTATAGACTACGCGAGTTGGCGCGCGGCAGTCCGCAAACACCGCGCACTTGCAATGAAGCACACGCTCGCGATGAACTCATTACGTCGTTGAGTCAGATTGTGTTCACTTTTGTTTTCAGGCTCTTCTCTCTGATAGGACCTGGATTGTCATGACCGTCAGATCTTGTTTTTGCATAACTAGAATGATTGCCTGTTGGAAAAAAAGCGAAATACCACTGCAGCAATAACGAATCCATCGCGAGTGCAAGCCGATCCCAAGCATACGGTATTTGCAATGTTCGTGGACCTTTCTTGCCCTCAGCATTCCTCGGGACTTCTAAGGTACAACTTTTTGGTGATTAAGACCCCCTCTCTCACATCCTATCCCAGCTTACTACCTCATTTCGCGAAGAAGCCCAAAAATTCTCCAGTTTTTCTACAATATTTTGCCGTCGATCGCGACGGGGATAGGTCGTCATTAATCACTTAATAAACTCAAAAATTGCAAACAGCGCCTGCATAGTAAATTGAAACGCCACCAATCAGAGGAGGGAGAGTATATAGCACGTGTGAAACGGGGAAAAATCCAACACAGGAGAAATTTTTTCTCAACGCCGTCAATTTTCTCGGACGTACCCCTCCCCCTTCTCCCAGCGAGCAAGAACGACCCTTCAACCCATTGGAATTCTCTCAGCAGTCAGGATAGCGCCTGTAACACAGCATATATTGACTACCAAAAAAAAATTCTCAGACCACTACCACCCCTCTCCCTCTCTCCAGCCACAGGTCACGGCCCTCCCCTCGCTGGTGAGTTCATAACGTAGGACGTGCCCTGATAACGCCACCACATTGCGTGATTGCACTAATGGTAGGGACTTTATGGTATACGCCATGATTGCACTGTATTAACCTGTTTAAAGAAAGCATATTCGTTCAATTTGGATTACGCGCAGAAGTTTTGTTGGCAATGTGCAAACATAAGCGTCACTGTTTTGTTTGCCAAGTATGAGTGATATTATTTGTTTTCGATTACAGCGACTCGACTGTCACACTTTAGGACAATTTTTGATAATCATATGGTATCCATGTGACATATTCGACTGAGGATAGTTCAACATCATCGACAATGTTTGAAATTATTTTAAAGTTGCAATATGGTAAGGTTGCAACGAGTTGGGGGGGGGGGAGCGAAGAGAGCAGTGCGGCATTAACCTGCGTTCGGCTGCCTTGTTCTACCAATAGCGATCGGGTAGCGATCGATTCAGGAATCGCTAGTGGTGGGAACGCTGCAGGTGGATACCAACTGATTGCGACCCGACTGATTTCGGTGATTTAAACTGTACGTGATCGGCTCAGAAATTGTTGATGAGAAATGGACTGTATTACTTCTTTACGTTGAAAGATGAGTACGCGTGGTAACAACATATACTCGAAATCGCTGGGGCCGGGTAGGCGTGGCCACGTGTTTCAACTTAACCTTGAGGTGTCTATGCTTCTAGTGAGCATTTTCATCTTGACAACATTGTATTCTTGTCTCTGCTCAACACAGAACAAGATGACAGTTGTTCCAGACTGGAATATCCCACGAGTAATTAATTTCGTGCTATGTTCAAATGCCACGCCTACTCTGGGTCGGGGAAAAGGGGTGTAGTTATTCGAAATAAATATGTTCACTGTCAAACGGCTAATAAGGATCTTGGGCCCTATCTTGGAAACTACGAAAGTAATGAACGTTCACAGTGAGTCAATTTCGCTTGGAATCTGTACAAAAGGCGCACCCTATACAAACCAACGACAGGACGTTCCCAAGGAAGATAGAGAGGTACTACCCTCATGAACCGATCCTGCCATAGATTCATCCCCATGTCTCCATGAGAAATCTTTGAGATACTATCGAAACGAAGTATCGCAGTAGCCGCACTCTAGCACTGTCCGTCATGATGTTTTTCCTGCCAGATCGGCGAAGTACAATCTTGTGATGAGCTACATGCCCCAAAAGCGTCTTTTGCGCTCTTTATCAACCATCCAGCTTTGGCGCTCTAACCTAGGCTTGTTCCTCTTCCCAAGGGTGAGCAGCATCAGATATGGTAACCACGACATTGAGTATCCCATATCAGGCTCACCTCTTGTGTGTGTTATGGAACGCAATTCATGAGTGGGTGTGATGAGAAGCCTGATGTGATACCACAGCAGTACTGTGAATGCAGTAGTAGGCACGAAAATTCATCAGATTACAAGAACATATTGTTAGAAAATGCAGAATATTGTGGTGTTGTGGCACTGCCGTTCACGTTGCGGAACGAAGTTGGAACGTTTGGAGATGAGAGCAACCCTGGTCGGCGGCGACGGCAAAGACGAGGAGGTTTCGGCCAAGACCATGAGAAGCAACTCCCACTGTACAACTGGGCTGCCATTTTATAGCAGACCCATATTCTTATTAATCACCGGTAAGGTGATCTCTTCAAGATTGCAGGGTTGCGTTCTGCGATCCCTGGTCTCACGGGCCAATATCTGCGGAACTACGAAAAGTTCTCCCCAAAAATATGCGAGTTCGTTAGAGATGAAATTCTTCCAGAAGGACGTGGCCAAAGTTTTCGGCATACGAGTTCATTGATGATCACACTTTCTCAGAAGACACAGCAGGCTTGCAATACTTAAACTTGGGGGCGTCTGTATAGTTAATACACGCAGTATGGCATACTAAAAGCGAAATGATTAGGTGAGGGAAACGCCATGCATTTACCCAAAAAACTACTCGTCAGTTGTTTTTTGACCGCTTCTGTATATTTTGAATGGACGAGGACGACCAGGTATTACGGACGGAAAGTCTGCCGTTTTTGGGGTTGTAACATCTATTCTCATAACATAACTTGGAACACAGGCACACACTTTTTTGAATATTTGGTTAGATAACGAATAACATGAGACATCCGAAAATCGCAACTGCTGAAAAAGATTGTAAGAAAACCGGACACTATTCAACCTACTCCAGTCCTCCGAAATCGGCTGATTTTTACCAACTTTTTGTATTAGGGCAGATGGCTGATGTTGTTTACAAGGGTAGTTCTGCCTCCTGAACACGAATATCACATCCGCTTGGACTGAAACTGCCTGACGCCTGCGCCACAAGCGCCGACGCTAAAACATCTCTAATCACCACATTCTCGGGAAGTAGTCCCCAGTTTGTTGTCATAAACATGAATATTACATCTGCTTAGCTCGCGCCAGCGTCACAGGCGGAGGCCTACACCACCAGATTTACTAAAAATATGTCGCCCGCGAGTAATTTGACTCTCTGGATATGAATTTGATATCTTTGAAACTCAGGCACTTGCTGCCAGAGTTGACACAGTGTTGAACAAAATTCGGGTTCAAATGGGGGTTTTCTGTGGGCAAAATGACTATGTGGTGTCGGGCATATGGACAAAAGCATGAACAAAGTACGGACAAGACGCGTTTTGGGGCTCATAGAGCATCGCAAGATTGCACTTCGCCGATCTGAGAGGAAAATACATCATTAGGGACTGTGCTAGATTGCGGTCACGGCGATACTTCGCAATCTTTCGCTCCATTTTCTCTTTTCATGTTCCGGGTGATCAGAAGTAACGAAAATAAGTTTATCATAGATAGTTTTCATCCAGTGAGGGAGCTATCGAGATCTACTCGAGGTTGCCTCCAAGCGCTGGGGAGTAACTGAAGTGTTCACACAACGCAACATCGAAGCCTGAACCATTCGGACTTTGCTGTTAGAGCTAACCCATCTGCAGCATGGAAAGGATACATGTGCATGAATGAGGGTGAATATTGGAAGGTGTACTTGTCTTTCTTCGATTTAGTAATTTCTCAGGGGAAACTTCTCATAAATCTTGCGAAACGGCGAAAATTGATTCTGAAAAGTACACTGTCCGGCATAATTGTGCTTCCACCTATGATTTTTTGGAAATCTTTCATCCAAACAAATTTTTGAAAAAAACTCGTTAGTAAACATGTGTCACATGTAATTACGTATTAGCCCATCAAG